GACTGAGATAAAGAATAAAATGAAATATTAAAAACACGATGTATCTCGCTGCATTGCGCGAGTACGCTTCTAGTTATAATATATGTATCTATACTATATTATAAAGCATTTGATAAAAACTTTTAAAATTATTTTTTATGTATAAAGTACTGTTTATTGATGCATATTACTTAAAATTCAATATTATAAGTAAATTGTACGTAAGTACAACTTATTAAAGCTTCATTTTTGAATCTGTGTAACTAACTATAGATAAACATAATCAAATATATGATAAATATTTTATTTTAAATATAACATATATAAAGATGAATTAGGATAATTATTAAGTTCTAACGAAATATTTAATTATCATCTTTATAAAAATTGTATTGTCAAACAAAAAATAAGTTATTTCGTCATTAAATAGTTAATTTGATATTAATATTGATGTATTTTTCAAATATTTATAATATATTTATATTTATATTTTATTCAAAAATAAAAACATTGTCAATTTTCTCAAAACCACATAAAAACATATTCGTTATATAAACAGAAACAAAGAATAAAAATAAAACATAGAAATCGAGATATATCTCAGCATTGTATGAGTACCCTTCTAATATATATATTAAAAATATTATTATTTTATTCTTTTCTTAGAACAATTATCCAAAAATGGGGTCGTGAATGGACACTCTCGTGAAATTTTATATAATTATTTAACATATACACAATATATTGTGATATGGTTGGTTAAGTTGTAATTTTTTTAATTTTCAAAATCAATAAAATATTTTTTTAATTATTATAAAAGATTTGATAAAAACTCTTAAAAACTATTTTTAATCCATTAAGTATTATTTATTAATGTATATTACTTAAAATTTAAAATAATTAAATCAAGATGTATCTTGCTACATTGTGCAAATACCATATTAATATATCATTAATACGGTTCACAGATTGCACCCTTGAACAAAATTAATAAAGGTATTATCCAAATAGCTTGAATTTTGTGGGGTTTTTTATAATCGAAATACATATATATATATAGAGAGAGAGAGTTCGTTTCAAATGCAATTTATTACATTTGTACAACCAATGCAACCCAATAAATTGAGATATATATGAAAATAATGAGAGTTCATTTATTATGATTTGAATATTTAAGGAAGATAAATATGGTTCATTAATTTTGATCAATACTTTATATTATGAAACAATCAAAACTTTTATGAAATCACATATTAATCAAATGAAATAGACGACTGAGATTGGATTATATTGGTTGTACAAATGTCAAGGATTGTATAATAACCAACCTCTTTATATATATATATATATATAGGGTTGAGTTCACGTGAGACCAAATGTTTTTCGTGAGACCCGTAAGACCAATTTATGTTCATTGATCAAATTTATGAATTAATGATCTAATGGTTGCAAAGTTGCAAGGTGGCAATTTCGTAATTAGTGAGAAGTCTCGTGGTGTTTATAAATGTTCAGATCTGACGATTGTAAATCTAATCAAATGGTTGAGAATTGGTCTTACTGGTTTCACGAAAAACCATTGGTCTCACATGATCCCAAGTCTATATATATATATATATATATATATATAATATCAAAAGAATACAAAAAATGAAGACTCCAAGAAACATAAACATATTGACTAGCTTAATTTCGTTATTGGCGTGTGCTGATTGAAGCAAACCGCCCATGTGGAACCATTTGCGTCAACTTTGGAGGCCATTTTTCCATCCAATCAAAACATGTTTATTTTTATTTATGGTTTCATAAATTCAGAATTTCACGATTAATGAACAATGATTACTTGATGTTCGAAATCTTTTGAGATCCAAGTATGTGAACTCCAACACTTCAAAACTCTCACTTTCCCACCTAGTTGCAAACGGCCGCCGTCCTCACTGGTTATATCCACTCCCGCAGCCGGTATGTCGCCGGAATCCATCTCCGGTCAGTACCCTTTTTTTCTGCTTCTCATTTTCTTGATCATCATCGCTCCTTCGTCTTCCCAATCTGACCCACGACAGATTCTTCTCAAAATCAGCACTGATTTGGGTGATTCAAGCTTACCAGTGTTCAGCACATGGAATGAGAATAATCCGGTTTGTAACTTCACCGGAATCGTCTGTAACGGCCAGAATTCCGTCAAAGAAATCAATCTTTCGCAACAACAACTCGCCGGAACTATTGATTTTGATTCAATTTGTTCACTTGGATCACTCGAGAAAATCTCACTAGGATCAAATCTTTTGCATGGTACCATTAGTTCTCACTTATCAAAGTGCACCCACTTGCAGTATCTTGATCTCGGATATAATCTATTTTCCGGCGAGTTCCCGGAGATATCTTCTTTAACCCATCTACAGTTTCTAAACTTGAACCTCAGTGGTTTTTCCGGCCCATTTCCATGGCAATCGCTTCAAAGTCTTAACAATCTCACTTACTTGAGCTTAGGAGACAACCCATTTGAAATGAATCCGTTTCCTTTGGAAATTTTGAAGCTTGGCAAGTTACAAACTCTTTATCTAACAAACTCTACCATCCAAGGGACGATCCCAGAAGAGATCGGAAACCTCCGTTTGTTGCAAAGTCTTGAGCTTTCCGGTAATTATCTGGTCGGAACAATCCCGAAGGCGATCACGAAACTCACCAACCTTCAAGAGCTTGAGCTCTACGACAATGAACTCACGGGGACTTTTCCGGTTGGGTTTGGCAACTTGGTTATGCTTGCTAAACTCGATGTTTCGAATAACAGTCTTGAAGGCGATCTTTCCGAGTTAAGAAACTTGACTCGGTTGGAGTCGTTGCAGTTGTTTGAGAACAAATTTTCTGGGGAAATCCCTGTCGAGTTCGGAGAATTCAAGTTCTTAAAGCAATTTTCAATCTACGATAACAAGTTCACCGGAGAACTCCCTGCGAAAATTGGGTCGTGGGCTGATTTTGAATACATTGATGTATCAGAGAATTTCTTGACGGGTTCGATTCCACCAGATATGTGCAAAAATGGGAAGATGTTTGATATTTTGATGCTTCAGAACACGTTCACCGGTGGCTTGCCGGAGACTTATGCCAATTGTTCTTCGTTGAGCCGGTTAAGAGTGAACAATAATTCACTTTCCGGGAGAGTTCCAGATGGGATTTGGAGTTTGCCGAGCATGAAATTGATCGATCTTACAATGAATCAGTTCGAGGGTCAAGTGACACCTAATATTGGTGAAGCCAAATCATTACAACAGCTTTTTATAGCTAACAATCGTTTTTCCGGCGAGTTGCCGGAGGAGATATCTGAAGTTTCATCTCTAGTGGAAATGGAGTTGATGTCGAATCAGTTCACCGGTCAAATTCCGGCAAGAATTGGCGACCTGAAGAAGTTGAACAGTCTTCATTTAGAAGGTAATTTCTTTTCTGGAGCTATTCCAGAGTCTCTTGGTTCATGTGTTTCTCTCAGTGATCTAAACCTTGCCGGAAATTCTTTCTCCGGCCAAATTCCGGCAAGTCTTGGCTCTTTACCAAGCTTGAACTCCTTAAACTTATCCGGTAACAAACTTTCTGGTGTAATCCCGGCGAGTTTGTCGTCATTAAAGCTAAGCCTTATCGATTTTTCAAACAACATGTTGATCGGGCGGGTGCCGGAATCTTTATTGGCGGAGGCTTACAACAATAGCTTTGCCGGAAATCCCGGGTTATGTGCCGAAGGGAGAAGAGATCTCCGGCGGTGTTCGCCGATTTCTCATAAGTCCAGTGACTTGAACGTTGCAAAATATTGCTTCATAGCCGGTGCACTCGTGTTGGTGTTGTCATTAGCGTGCTTTCTCTTTGTAAAATCGAGGCGAAAAGATCGCAAAAATCTGACAGATCGAGGTTTTTCGTGGGACATGAAACAGTTTCATGTCATAAGCATCAACGAAGGGGAAATACTGCGATCCCTCAAACAAGAGAATTTGATCGGTCAAGGGGGTTCCGGGAACGTCTACAAAGTCGAATTGGGGTGCGGGAAGAAATTGGCCGTGAAACATATGTGGAAGTCTGGTATCGACTCCGGTGATCGTAAGAGTTATCCGAGTGGTGAGACGATATTACCGAAACGAAAAATCAGGTGGCCGGAATACGACGCGGAGGTGGCCACTTTGAGCTCGATTCGACATGTAAATGTCGTGAAGTTGTATTGTAGCATCACGAGTGAGGACTCGAATCTACTTGTTTACGAGTATATGCCTAATGGTAGTTTATGGGATCGACTACATACGTATCAGAAGGTTGAAATGAACTGGGATGTTAGGTATGAGATTGCAATAGGGGCCGCAAAGGGATTGGAGTACCTACATCACGGGTGCGATCGACCCGTGATACATCGAGATGTGAAGTCGAGCAATATTTTGTTAGATGAGGAAATGAAGCCGAAAATAGCTGATTTCGGACTTGCGAAGATTGTGCAAACGAATAAGGTCATGGATTCGACGCACATCATAGCAGGAACACATGGTTACATCGCTCCTGGTAAGTCCCTCATTTTTATTTCCAGATGATTTTTTTATGATAATAAAAGTTATAACGTTTATTTTTTACTTTCAGAATATGGATATACGTTCAAGGTGACCGAGAAAAGTGATATCTACAGCTTTGGAGTTGTTCTGATGGAGTTGGTAACAGGGAAAAAACCTGTTCAACCAGAGTTTGGCGAGAACAAGGACATAGTATGTTGGGTTCACGATAAAATGAGGAGGAATGACGACGCGATCACTCTGTTGGACCCGACCATTCCAGGCGATAGCTGGAAAGAAGATGCAATCGAGATGCTGATGATTGCAATACGTTGCACGATGAAGATACCTGCATCGAGACCGTCGATGAGGATGGTTGTGCAAATGTTGGAACGAATTGAGCCTCGTTCACCTGTCGATATCGTGATTGATAATGATATCCATATCGAGAAAGACTAAATTTTTATACATCCACAAGCAATAGCATATGTAAATGAAACGATCTGTAAGTTTGTAGACAAAAGGGTTGAGTTCTGCCATTAGGACGGGATGCACCGAGTTATACCAGATCAATCCTCGTATCAAGTACGATTCATGGATGAGTTTGAGATTAAAAGTGATCAAGGGTCCAGATCTCTTATTACACGATGAAATATTGTTACAAGTGTTCACATTTAATATTTAATTGATAGTCAGATAAATAAAAAAAATTATATATCAAGTCAATCCTTATGTTTTTCTTAATTAACGAACGTATCATTTAATAAATGTAACACATTCTTACTTGTATTGTGTTGTGTTATATATATGTATGTATATATATGTATGTATATATATCTAGATTTGGGATCATGTGAGACCAATAGTTTTTCGTGAGACCCGTAAGACCAATTCTCAACCATTGGATTAGATTTACAATCGTCAGATCTAAACATTCATAAATGCCACAAGACTTCTCAATAATTACAAAATTGCCACTTTGCAATTTTAGACAATTAGATCATTAGATTATAAAGCTGATCAATGAACATAAATTTGTCTTACGGGTCTCACGAAAAACCCGTCTCACGTGAACTCAACCCTATATATCTATGTATATATATATATATATATATATATGTATATATGTATATATGTATATATATATATATATATATTTATATATATATATATGTTTGTATATATATATGGAGTTGGGTTCACGTGAGACCAAAGGTTTTTCGTGAGACCCGTAAGACCAATTTATGTTCATTGATCAACTTTATAAGCTAATGATCTAATGATCTAAAGTTGCACGGTGACAATTTTATGATTATTGAAAGTCTCGTGACGTTTATGAATGTTCAGATTGTAGATTTAATCCAAGGGTTGAGAATTGATCTTACGGGTCTCACGAAAAACCTTTGATTTCACATGATTCCAAGTTTCTCTCTTTCTATATATATATATATATATATATATATGAACCTTAAAGCAAGAGTGATATAATCTTCTTTAGTGTATAAGCTCTAAACTCTTATGGAATTGGTTATGAGATTAAATGAGCTAAAGAAGATTTGGTCTTTTGTGTTGAAGTTTAAATCATAATTCTTATATTTGTGAACAGTGATTCATATGATTTTCTGGAATGTTTGGGAAAATTCGTGTAGCTTTCCGGAATGTTTGCACATAAACACTATTTTGTTGACTTTCGGTGCTTCTTAACCGTCAGAAAAGTCGCCAGGGTCGGTTACTAATTTAATAAATATTTATTGGTAAACTAAATAAGTATCCATGCGATACACTGGAATATAAAAATTTATTATAAAATCGAGATCCAAAATTAATATTTTGAACATGTTTATGTTAATTTAAAATTCTGGTAAAAAACCCTGAAAAATGTATCGATACGAATGTCAAACTGAATATAATAAGATTCTCGATTCTTATGATTCGTATTTGGTGTGGGCTGAGGCATGTGTAACACTAGTGTTTGGATAGACATCCTTTATGGATGAACGAAACTTATTTTCGTATGCTTAATGTCCATCATCTTTTAAAAATTTAATGATATGTGTTTAACCTTGGGAGTTGTTAGGGTCGATTAGATAGCAAAATCGGAGATTTTTTGACTTTCAAGGAGGTTCTCGTGGCTCGCCATGCGACCTAAGTCGCATCGCAGCTGAAGCCGCATGAGAGAAACAATGACTTAGATGACCCTCGTCGCATGTGGGGGTCGCATATGAGGTTGTTGTACATGGCAAATGAGTTCAAACATTTTTCATCTTTAATATAAAACAGTAAAACTGAAGAGATATTATTTAAATCACAATTTCCAAAATGAAATGTATTTAGTACATATGCAACACCTTTCCAAAAACATACCATTTTTGTAATGGAAACCCATTAATCAAAACATCCATTTAACATGAAAACAAAACCCAATACTCACACAAAATGCGAAAAAAGGCTTAATATTCAATTACTGAAAACATGGATACAACTCAATCATCTAAAACATCAAACATTAATAAGTTCCAGTACACAAAAACCATAAATCATGGAAAACACTTCATACTCAAAATGTCACTAAAAACATGGATAAAACACAATACCCAAAACAACACCCTTATGTGACAGGGGACCTATTTCCATCGATCGTGGTGAAGCACAAAGTAAGTCATTTATCAACGTTACTGAGCTTTTCTCAAGGTTATTGGGCTCTATATACGAATCTATCGAGTGCCATCGCAAAGACCTAAGCTTCATACATGACTTCAATGAGTACCACTGCTAACCCCAACGGTAACAAAGATTCCTACTCATCCTCTAGATGAGTTTCACCACAAGAGTCACTGTTCTCTGTATATGACTCTAACAAGGACCACCACAAGATCTAGCCTCGTATAAGACTCAATAGAGTACCACCACATGCTACTAGCTACATATACAACCCAATAGGGTACCAACGCAATACCAAATGCATCAAAATCTCATAGATCCCGGAGTCTGACTCTACATGAGTCTATCTCTGCAATGTCCTAGAGTCCAACCCCATACGGGTCCTTCTCCACAATACTGACATGACCACCATGCTTACTCGAGCACTGGTCTTAGAGTGATAACATCAAAACTCCCCATTCATCACATGACTGACTCACATGCATAATGTATATTTTTATGTTAAGAGCAATTTGGAAATATAAGTAGTATGATTTCATTTGGAAAAGATTTTTTTAGTTAATACACTTTTCGAGCATGTGTTTACATAAACATGAGTTAAATGAATTTTATTAGTTATGTTGATTTTTGTTTGAGTAGTCAATAAATAAATTAGGAAATTTATAATTTTGGTAATTTTGAATTAAAATTTTAATGCAAGGACATTTTAGGTATTTTAAAACTCTCCTCTCTCCTCTCTTCTCTCTCCGTCCCCCGTTCTCCGGCCACCATCCTCTAGTCACCGTTCTCCGGTGATACCACAATGGTATCACAATGCATCATATATGCGCTTGGGTATCAGACTGAGGTTGTTTGTGGTCGATCAGAAATATAACACAATGATATCACAATGTATCTTATATATGCTTGGGTATCACACTGTGTCTTTTGTTTAACATAGTCAATATTTTTAAGTATCACAGTGGTATCACCGGAGGACGGTGGCCGGAGGACGGAGAAAGAAGAGAGGAGAGAGGAGAAAGGAGAGAAAAATACTTAAAATGTCCTTGCATTAAAATTTTAATTCAAAATTACCAAAGTTATAAATTTTCTAATTTATCTATTGATTTGTGGTTGAGATAGGATCTCACGGTTACCACGAACTAATCAGTTTTTCCTCGAATGAGCCCCTATATATATTGTGTGTGTATATATATATATATATATACACATTAATTACAAATTTATTTTATCATTTCATATATATATATATGTATGTAATTACATGTAATTATATATATATATATATATATGTGTGTGTGTGTGTGTGTGTATATATATATATATATATATATATNTGTGTGTGTGTATATATATATATATATCTATATATTCAAATATATTACAATCTAATTACATGACTCTTAACACACAAACACACACACACACACACATATATATATATATACACACACACACAAATATATAACGTTTATTTATGCATATAAATTTATCAGTTGTATAAAATGTTTGAACTCACTAGGCTTGTTAGCCTAAACTTGTTCTTAATGTTGCTTATCTTGGTGGGGTTTCTAGAGATAGTTGGTTCCATGCTAGCTTGAGCCACATAGACTCAATAGCATTTTTGGGACGCCTTACTTGGTGATAGCAACCTTTCGGGAGTTAGTGACACCCGGTCAATAATTTTTTCTTGTACGAATTAGAATAGGAGGTTGTTAACCTTAACTCCGTTGTTTTTCCCTTGTAATAATCGACATCAACTATTCTTTTGTTGGGTAAAGCTTGTAGTGAAATTCTTATTTCAGAGTTTCTGCAAGTTGCTAATTTTTTAATTTTAGGAATGTTACAACACGTCGTGGGCCTCGTGGCATGCATTTTTTTTACAGGATGTAACTGTTTTATTTTATTCTTAGTTCTTTTAGTTTTTAAATTTTGTATTTTATACTTATTTACCTAATTACTTCACTCACAAAGTCATGGATATGCACAAATATCACTTATGCACATATAAAACCAAGTTATAACCACAAGGGTGGTGTCTGATTGGTTTGAGTTTAGCTCTAAAGGTCAAAAGTAGCTGAAGGTCACAGGTTCAAATCCAAGGAGGAATAAAAATCTCCTTGTTACGATGGAGGTTCAAATGCGGTGACTCCTGGCTATCTGCAAAGAAAATGGTCGCCCTGGAATTAGTCGGCTCGCAATTGAATATCCAGGTTAATAGAAAAAAACCAAGTTATGAATCTCTTTCAATTTCTATTTTCAATTTTTGATTACAAACTATTTATATTATATGAATATATATGATCTTTTTTCTTCATGTGAATTGCATTATTTATTAACATTATGTCATCAATATAATTTTTTTTATATATAAGACAAATTTGTCATCTTAAGCATCGGCATACCCATGATTTTTATTGAATGAATGCACCTGAAAGTAGGGGTGTTCATAGATTGAGTTGATCAGGTTGAAGACATTTGAACAACCTAACCTGATACTTGCGGTTTGAAAAAATCTTAACCCAACTCAACCCAAACCATAAGAGTTGGTCGGATTGATACTTTGGTACATTAAAATATTATTCTGACCTTAAATATGTTAATTCTCTAATTATAATTTATTTTTCATCATCAACCATTTGATAAAACTTATCCATACTTTTTACATATATCATAGTCAGTTAATTTTCTCAATTTTACATACGAAGTTACTGAACATATATACGAATGAGTTATATGAAGATGTGAATAGATTGAAAATATGTGTATATGAAGAGCGTACGTGATAATATAATTGTCTAATGTATATATTAATAGAATTTCAACAATCATATTAAATTCAAGAAATAAAAAGATATCCGGTTCATCAAGTTGGGTTAAAACCCTATTATACCAACATAAATAGAATAAAACAAAATACTAAAATCAAGATATATGTGATTACATTTTGCAATAAACCTATTTAATAGAATACAAATTAAGACAATAAGAAGGATGTCTATAAAAGTAGTTACCACTTTGTGATGATGGAATCACTGGATTTACAAGAAAAAAGAGGAGCTTCATTTCATTGGAATCCAATCAGCAATCATCATCATCCATGCCAATTGCCAAATGAAACCTAAATAAACGGCCATTTTTACACTGTATTTTAACCATCCTTATCAATTTCTCAAATGAGTTTAGGGTTTACTCTTCTCCTTCACTCCACTGCTTCCATCACCTCTCATCAATCCCATAATCTCTTCTTTACATTTCCCCACAACAACACTATCTCTCTCGCAGGTCTCTCTCTCTCTCTCTCTCTCTCTCTCTAAAGATTCCATCTTTAAAAAGACTTCATCAACTGTCTTTTTCTTGTATGAATTTCTTGTACCAAACCCATGTGGGTTCTTCTTAATTTGTTTGGTAATCATTGATCTGGCCGAGTTTCGTGATTCGATTATTTCAAGATCGAACCCTTCTTGATGATCAAAGAAAGTTTGTTGGGTTTTCTGCAGGACGAAGGAATTTAGTGTTTAGGGCTCGGACTTGTTCTGAATCAATACAGCTGAAACCAAAATCAATGGATTTAAAGGAAGAGCTGAACAAGAATCTTTATGAACCTCTAGAGCCATATACTACTGGGTTCTTGAAAGTTTCTGATCTGCACAAAATCTACTGGGAGCAATCTGGAAATCCTTCTGGCCATGTTAGTCATCATCACTCTGTTTTCTATATTATAATTTAGTGATTTCACTTTTCAAGATTTTGTTCATGTTTAGTTTTCTGCATTATGTATGCCAATCTTGGATTGGATGGTCCTTGGAGTATGTTTCAATCCAATTGATGTTCATTTCATTATAGGAGATTAATCCGCTTGGAATCACACATGGGATACCTTTTTTTTTTTTTTTTTTATTAACCTGGATATCCAAACCGCTTTGCGAGCCGACTATTCCCAGGGCAACCGCCTGCTGCAAAGGTAGCCTGGTCCATGGCCACAAGGGGATTTTTGTTCCTCCTATGGAGCCAGCTCAAACCAATCAGGCACCACCCTTGTGGTTCACATGGGATACTTTTTTCGTCATCAAAAGGGAAATTGTGAATTTGGGAAGTTTCTGGTGTCCTGTATGCAAGGGGATGATACTAATTTCGATATTTTCTTAAAAGATGTGAAATACAAAATATTCTATGATCACACACATGCCCAGAAGTGAGGAACACATGGATTTACTAGAAAACTGTATTGGGAGTCTTTAAAGTGCATTATGCAAACCTTGAGGGCCAGCTCAACGGGTAAATAAAGGCTAGGTCTTGGATAGGAGCTGGTTTGAGTCTCCTAGCCTCCTAGGGCCACCAGGTTATCTTCAGGGTCCCCTGGGATCAGTTAAGGTGTGAGAAAGCTGGCCTGGACACCCACGGTCATTACTCATCAAAAAAAGTCCATTATGCACTGTAAAGTGTACAAGCCTAGTAGTAGCATAGATGACATATCATGAAACCTAATGATACAAAATGCGTCGCACATACAATAAGCTAGCCCCCCATAAGGCCACAAGCCTATCCCACTTTACAATCCTCACAGGCAGAATAGAAAGTGAGATCTGCTGTCCTTGGGAAAAATGGTAGGGGCCAGTATTTGATTCCAACTAGTACAACATAGAGAGAAAGTATATCAAACAATAATTACAAAACGTTTGTGCAAGGACCTATTTGGGGATTTACCTGCACTTTTAGGTGGTCCGGTGGTCCCCATATCCGAATTGTGTATATAAAACATCAATGGGTGATTGCGAACCATATTTTGTGCATAGATTGTCGATAGCTTCCAACCTCCAAATATATCTCAAGAATCTTCTGTGGTTTTTGTATGAATTGACACTGTAAACTCAATGTATTGGATGATGAGCATGCTACACTTGTCATATGTTTGATATGATAAGCTTAGATGAGAAAGCGACTTCAATGTAGTTGTTTTTAGCTTTTAGCAAGACTGACTTTTTAGTTCTTACTTATTTAAACTATGTGAACAGTATCAACTTTTAGTTTCTAAGGGAGAAAATATGTTAAAATCTTTGACATTCAAGTTTATCCCATACTTATAGTATGGTATGGACTTTGGCACCAAGCGGGGGTCTTCATGAAAACAGTCGCTCTACTCTTTAGGGGTAGAAGTCAGGTCTGCTAACATCGCACTCTCAGACCCTATTTTTAGGTGGGGTTTACTGGGTCAGTTTGGTTTGGTTTGGTTTGGTTTATGGACTTCGCCTTCAACATTCCTGGAGGCCTTTCCAGAGCTTGTCACACCACATGGGTTGTGGATTCCTTGCCGTTATTGCTCTTGGGGAAGCTTTGTCTTAGGGGATATGACATCCATGTTGGGCTCTCCGTGTGATTCAAATGCCATTTTCAAAGTTTTGGGGATTCGTTTTCGTTGTTGCAATCTTGCAGTATATTTTGTTTCATGCAGCTTATTTATGATCCTTTCATATCTTTCAGCCGGTTGTATTTCTCCATGGTGGGCCGGGAGGTGGAACTTCACCAAGTAATAGAAGATTTTTCGATCCTGAATTCTATCGCATTATTCTCTTTGATCAGGTTCATTATCAAACCTCTGCTAAATAGTAAGTGCCTGCTGAAGTACCAAACGGTTTTGAAGTTATTTCACCACGTTGTTATTCTTCCAGAGAGGAGCTGGTAAGAGTATGCCCCATGCTTCGTTGGAGGAGAACACAACGTGGGACCTCATTAAAGATATCGAAAAATTAAGAGAACACCTCGAAATTCCAGAATGGCAGGTTTGTTTTTCATCTATGTCGGATAGTTTGGTGAATGTGGATCGCACTTGTCTCTCATCTTCGAGTTTTTAGGTGTTTGGTGGCTCGTGGGGAAGCACTCTTGCACTCGCGTACAGCCAGTCGCATCCTGATAAGGTACCCTTTTTGGTTTAATGTGTCCCTGATTTATCCAAGTATCTTCTCGTCACATAATTTTATGAAATTATTCGACAATTAGTCAAATGCATATATGCCCCCCTATGTGACAATTATTCGATCACGTTAGTCAAACGCCTTATTTTGACTTTGTTTATTTTCTCGTTTATCATTCTAAGGTCACTGGGATTGTCCTTAGAGGGATCTTCTTATTGAGGCAGAAAGAGATCGACTGGTTTTATGAAGGCGGTGCTGCAGCAATATACCCTGATGGTCTGCTTCTCTTACCCTCTTTGCCATTCTCGTTTCTTATCAGTCGCTGATCGCTTTTATAATTTATAACAGCGTGGGAGCCATTTAGAGATCTTATACCAGAAAATGAAAGAGAGTGCTTTGTGAAGGCCTACCACAAGAGATTGAATTCTGATAACTTGGAAACACAAGTAAGATCTGTTTCCTTTTTATAGCAACGGTTATGCGCACTAGAATTGAAGTCATTGTTTCTTTTAGTTTTTATTGTTGTGAAGCATTAATGTCATATCCACTTTTTTCGTGAATGTCGTTCTCAGTATGCCGCTGCTAGGGCATGGACCAAATGGGAAATGATGACTGCTCATCTACTACCAAATGAAGAGACTATTAAGAGAGGGGACAATGATGCTTTCTCGCTGGTATTTTACTTTCTTGACTCTTCTATCTCTCTCTCTCTCTCTCTCTCTCTATATATATATATATGTATCTATCTATATTTTTTGATGTGTTGAAGTTTGTGAACTAAAATAGTATCGAACCAAGGTTCCATTGTCTTTTTGGCAACATACTTCATAGTTCGTTTTGGAAACCACTTGTTTGTGGTACTTTTAATGCCTCAACCCATGGCAATTATCTGATTATCACAACTTCAAACAGTAGAAGCACATCCAAACATTATCTCCATCATTTAATATCATATGATTACTTTCTAAATGCATAATCTGAATACCCCGAAACCACAACAAGAAGTTATATTGTATGATTACATGTGATTTTCAAACCACGATAGTTAAGCACAAATTATATGTTCTTTCTGCAAATAATATTTTGTTGTTCTGCAATATTGCTATGGAGTAAATGGTTGTAATAACATGCAGGCTTTTGCAAGGATCGAGAACCATTACTTTGTAAATAGGGGATTCTTTTCAACAGATACATATCTCTTGGATAACATTGAGAAGATCAAGCATATCAATGCTGTAATTGTACAGGTACGTGCCACAATGGTCATTTAAATCATTTTCTGTAACAAATCTAAATATACCCTTAATCTAGACTACTAGAACTGCAGGTACAGATTAGTAAAGTGTTTGTATAAGTTTTCATTAGGTTGCGGAATATTTTTCAGGGAAGGTACGATTGTTGCTGCCCCATGATGTCGGCATGGGACCTGCATAAAGCTTGGCCAGAGGCAGATTTTAAGGTATGAAATACCATTTCAAGTATCGTGTGGGATTAGTGGTTGCAAAATTCATCACTAGAACATTTTTGCTGTTAAAACAGGTGGTAGCAGATGCAGGCCATTCGGCTAATGAACCTGGCATATCAGCAGAACTTGTAGCAGCAAATGAGAAGCTGAAGAACATCAGAAGGACCAAGTGACTTTAGAATCATAATTCATACACAAGGGTTATAGCATTTTGAGCTATTTGCTTCAGTTTTAAGAACAGATTGAAAACCACAAGAGCTCTGTTGCCATATTGAATCAATGGATGAGATCCTGTTATTGAAATCTATTTTGTGTTTCTAGACAATTTTTATGTTCATAGTTTATATCAACAAAACTGAGGAAGGGTGTATGAGTTCATTTGCGGTATATAAATATATACTTAAAAATATTTGAACAAATGCTTGTTCTACACAAAAGCTTGTTCTACACAAGAGCCAATCAGATATATAAGTGGCTACAAAATATTTTGTAGCATAATAATTGAACAAATGCCTACAAAAGTCTTTCAAATGCCATGGAGAAAATAGTGAGTGAAATTCAATGAATGATTGATGGATGAAATGAATCTTACATACAACAAAACCACCACCATGCCTTAAACAATTATCTTTGGGCAACTCCTTGGTCGACGTGAGCTGTGAAAGTTTGGTTCTTTAGCAATGGTCACAGGCCGCTTTGTCTGCGATGTGGATCTTGCAGCACAAGTTGCTCTAGTTTTGTTCTCCGCCACCATAACATCACTGTTCACTTTAGAAGATTTCTCCTTTATTACACCGAGTCGTTGTTGACCTACCTTCCTAGGTGAAGCAACCCTACATATACAATCCAGTGATAAAGGAGTTTGTGTGTTATTTCTCTTGTTGATTCGAGAAACCATACTGAGACTACTATTATATGCTTACCCTTGAGGCTGTTGCTGAAGAGAAGGTGATCGTGTCCTTAACCTGGTCATAGATCTGGGTCTTTGCTGTGTTGATTCAGCGTTTTTTCGTGCAGTAGTAGGGACTGGTTTTGATCCCATTTGCATCTTTAGGGCAGTTGTACTGGACTGTTTTTTGCAGTTCATGAAAGAGTGATTGGTGAATGTATTCAAGAAAACTATCCATTAGGGTAGAAAGAAAGATCATTTGTTTTTGAAGAACTCACCACTCCACCTGCTGCTGATTCTTTTCCACAATTATTACTAGTAGAATCAATGTGCTTTCTTTGTTCAATAGAAAACTTCTCGTTCTTCTGACAACACAAATGATAACATATAAACATATATCGCATAGGAGATTGTCGATTGGTGTTTAGAAAAGACAACTCACTGGAATCCGAAATGTCTTCTTTATCACACTTGTATCTCTTACAACCTCTTTCTCAGGAGCAGGAAAATGAAGCTTTCTCTCCAGTGTAGCTTCTTTAAGAATCCCTCTTTCCTAAAAAACCATTAACTTATCTTAAATGTTTACAGAAAAAAAACATTTATGAAGTAAAGGACAACATATACTGCAAAAACAATTGCTTACATCAGTTCTTAGCCTAAAAGGCTTGATGTTGGTAGGCTTCGGTTTTTTATATTTCACCACTGTAGGACCAGCACCGATAGAAGTAAGACCGCCTTTCAAATTCTTATCTAGTGTTTGAACAACCTACATACTTCCAAAGTTACAAGCTACTCGAAACTAAAAGGACAATGCAACTATTTTAACAAGGAAAATTTTCAAGAAAAGAAGAAAGTATCTAACCTTGTTCTTTTTATGTGTCTCCTTGCTAAGAATCTTATCACCCAGTGGCCGGTTGTTAAATACTCTGGAAGTGCATAAATTATGGGCATTATGATGTGCACAAAAGCCAGGAAGTAAAAGCACTACATGAATAACTAATTGTAAGATTGACCATCATACCTGTTATTATCTTCAGGATTCAAAGCATTTTCTTTACCATCATCATTCATTTGTCCACTCCCATGTCCTGCCAACGTTTCATTTGAATGATCTTCAGCACTTCCCATATTCTCTTTATCTTCTAAATTTGGCAAGTTCATTTTAGCTCCCAAATCATGTGAACTTGTAGTGTCAGAAGTTTCTTTCGGTTGCAGATCCTCTTCTTTCTTGGTACAATCAAAGGTAGAACCATCCCTCACTGTCACATCGACATCCATGTCACCATAATTGTTTTCAACCACTTTGTCAGTTGGGATCTTCTTGTGCTGAGTCTTTGTAGACTTGGAAGGTACCAGATCCTTGAACCTTTTATCACCCTTGCAAATCTTTAATTGCCTTATAGAGGAATCTTCAGTTTCTGGCTTGGGCTTGCTTTTGATACACTTTAATGTCTTCTTTTGACGTGCTATCTCAAGCCTCTTCATCCCTTCACAAATCTTTGTTAAAGGGGTTTGCAATTCAACAGATTTTTTAAGACTCATGGCCTTCTTCGGGGAGCGAAAAACTAGTGCCTTTGCTACTGTTCGATCCTTAGGCACATGATCATTGGTCGTCTTTGGATTTTGAACACTTCGAAAGGAGCTGGGATTGGGAAGACAGTTTTTGTTCCTTGGTGTTGTCATATACTTGGCAGCAACTTGCCTTGACTTCACCACTGGGGTAGAAGTAACTTTTGAAGTAGCTTTGATTTTGCTTTGTGGATCACCCATCTTGCAAGAAATCGAAGAAGAAACCACGGCTAACCTCGGCATCCTGGACTTGGAAGGTTTTGCAGGAGCTGAAAGTGGACATTTCATGCTAAAGAAAAAGAATACAAAGTGTTAGCATCTAATTCTCAGCCTTTTCTGTTAAGGAGGGAATTATGGTCTATAAGAACGCACCTGGAGTGTTCCCCATTCAGTGCTTTCCGAAGCTTAATGTTGGGACTTCTTGCTGCCAGGACCTATCAGCGATTTACATTTAAAAGGTCACATTTCGATTCGACCATATTGTTACTGCAACAGAAAGAGAAGCACTCACCCGGAGAACAAAGTTTCTAGAGATCTCTTCTGGGTTTATTTCCTCCTCGTGCTTTTGATCACAACCTGAACACAATTCGGATCATGTTAATTTGAAATCCCATCTTGTAGACCCGTAATCTAATTAGAGTTCCAATCTATAAATACGAATCTAATTAGAAACTTATTTTTTAAACCAAAGTAACAAATAAGCCATCGTTCATCCAGTGGGCTCAAGTTATAGAATCTCCCATCAACAAAATTACCAACCATCTAACTCAGACGAAATTCATGTCCTGAACTTCTTTAAGCCTCTTAAGATGAGTTGAAAAATTGTTCGTCAGATCCAAAGTTTTGATTAACTTTCAAGTTCACTAAGCATAGACTAATTGCCTATGAAGTTTTTACAACCCCATCACGAAAATAATCCAAATTAACGTAGCTGATCATAGTCGAGTAATATCCTAATTGAAAAAAACTCGAATTATGAATTTTAACATCAATCGAAGTATCTGAAGTAACTTAATTTCTTAACTGCAACTCTAATTTCCCCAAAATACTTGGAAGCATAGATTTTGAGATTTTAGCCTTTAATTTTATCAAACATCAGCTAAATTGTTAGAATGAGCGAATCAGGGGACCACATCAACTAAGAACCGATCAAAGAAAACCCTAAGTTAACTATTATTACTAACTTCTACCTCCAAAACATTCAGAATTCATAGATTAATTTACGAACACACATGACCTGAGGAATTCGATTGACATACCGACCCGGGAGCAGAACCAGTAGCGATCATCAGTGCGAAAGGTGTTGGGTTTAGTAAAATCAACGAATTTAGGCGCTTCAATCCTCTCATAGAACTCCTCATCGTCGTCATCCTCCTCCTCCTTGTTCACCTTTTCTTCAGCACTCGGTTCCGTTTCCTCAGCTTTGATGTTGCCGTCAATCATCTCCGGCACTGATTGAAGTCTTTGCTCCTCCATTTTTTTGCAACACGAAAGAGATCGAGAGAGAGAAAGAAATGTAGCCGTTGAATTTTTTCACACAGTTGCATTGATTTGAGTGTGAGATCTGTTGGATTTTTGAACTTGTTGGCTGTCTGTAACTAGCCGTTGTGAACCCTTGTATCTGCTGCGTCATTCTTCGGGGCCCGGTTTTCTTACTAAAACCCGACTCCGGTTCAGTACTGGAATAAGGCTTCTCAGCCCATTGGATCAGAATCAAATCCAGTCAAAAGCCCAAAAGTTCAATTTTCGAAATAGAGGACTTTTTGGTTGGTTTTCTATTAAGGAGCCGTTTACTAAAGACTTACTTGATAAGTGCCTACCAGATAAATTTTCTCATCAGATAAACATGAGAAAGACCAAGAATATCAAAAATGAAACCAAAAAGTATATAATTTTGTGAACAGTAACAAAATAATGTATTTTGTATATAATTTTTTTGTTAAAAAATATAGGGCAAAATGCATAAAATAGCAATCTACTTTCATAAATTTCTTTATTATAGCATTGTACTTTCAGTTTTTCTTATTACAACAATGTACTTTAAAATTATTTTTTATTAGGACATTGTACTTTGAAAAATTTACCCATTATAACATTGGGTAACCTTTTGATTTAAATTTACCCATTATACTAGGTTTCCATGCCACCTCATTGTCCACGTAGGCTGTTCACATGTACTATAGTGATATGACTTTCTTACTACATCATTGTACTTTCAAAATTATTTTATTATAGCATCTACTATTTCTTATTAAACAYTGTATTTTTAATTTTAATATTTAAATGTTTTACATGTTTTTTAATAAATGTATTAAATGAATTAAAAAACTTTTAAATTATTCATTAATATACCAATATCAATAAAACTAGTAGAACACAATTTATCTCGCTAATATTTTTTAAAAAATATGTGTTTTTTGAAAAAAGGAAAATAAGAATTGTTCTTTTTTTACCAAAAAATATTATCTTTACTTGACGAATATATTATATTTGTTTAAAAACTTTTTACTTGACGTATAAATATATTAAATTAATTAGATTTTTTTGAAGTATTTATTAATATAACAATATTAAAAAATTGTAGATAACAATTTATTTCGTTAATATTTTAAAGAGAACTTTAAAAGATATGTATTTATTTGAACAACATAAAATAGGAAAAATTGTCTTTTTTTACAAATAAAATATATCTCGAAAATAATGTTGCATATTTATTTAATAAATATTTTACTCTAAGAATATTTAATTTAAATGCAACCTAATAAGAAAAAGTAAAAAAAATGTTTTTTTAGATAATARCAATGAAAAATGAAAATCACTAATAATAATTTGAAATATGTTTTTATTTTAATTTTAGTTAAGTCATCAAAATGATGTGTCATCCAAATCACCTCATTAAAGCCACACAAGCAAAAAAGTCAAAGGGTTAACCTGTTTAAAAGGTAACATGTTACCCATTGCTATTATGGGTAGATTTTTTAAAGTACAATGCCTTAATAAAAAATAATTTGAAAGTATATTGCTGTAATAAAGAAAAACAAAAGTAAAATGATATAATAAGAAATTTTGTGAAAGTAGGTTTCTATTTCATGCATTTAAGCCAAAAATATATAGTCTTATTAAATTTAAATGATTAAAATATCAAAAATAAAACCAAAAAGTATATTTAATAAATAAAAAAAATTAAAATACCCCTAAGTTAATGGATGATTTTTAACATATTTAGTTTCAGAGTCAACGAAAACAACAATAAATTACAAAACATAGGGACGAAAATTGCATTTTCAAAATCACAGGGACGGGAATCACAATCTTCCTCAAACTATAGGGGCGAAAATCATAGTTTACTCTTTATATTTCTTATCGTGTTTTCATTTTTCATTTTACATATTTATCATATTAAAAGTATCTTCAAAATTATAATCATCTCCTCAATACCTTTAAAATAAGTTCATTATTGAATATTTTTAAATTTAATAATATTATATAATATCATAAATACATAGGAAACTATACCATATTATAAAAGACTTTAAACAATTATATATTGTAAAAAAAACCTTTTTCCGGACATAACTTGACAAATATAAACAAAATGTACAAATTATATATTTATTTGGTAAAAACTTAATTGTACCAAGTAATTCTTGTTTACATCTATTCAAAATTTACACTTGGTTACATGGTACAGATATACAACTAGCATCGGATGAACAAAACAGAGATAAAAATGAAACATTATTGACATTTTAAGTTATCGAATTTAAATCAAAATGCACATCACAACATTGTACACGAGTACCTCACCTCCATAACCATTGTCAGCCACCGACCACCACCGCTCGTTGCCACTACTATCGTTGGCTACCACCACCACCACTACTACCATCAATTATACCTAATTTTTCATTCAAATTTGATACAAATATGAAAATTATGTACAAATATTTATTCTTTAATTATTTACTTTATTTGTGTTAATTATAACTATTATATAATATTTAAAATCATCAAATAACTTTTGGGGGTAACTTATCTAATTTTGTCTCGTGCAGTCCTAGTCGTACCAAACATCAGACATACTTCTGTTAATCTGTTATGTTCAATCCAGTCTTGTCCAGTCCTACCCTCTTGTTCTATCATGTCCTGTCATGTCCTGTCCAATTATGTCTGTGTACCAAACGCTACTTAAGGGTGCGTTTGGTGTCCAGACAGGACAGGACATGACAGTTGTTTAGCTTAGCATTTGGTAAGACTAAATAGGTCAAGTTAAATTACCAATTTACCCCAACGAGTTGTTTATATATTCTGATTAATTTATGTAATTTATCAGATTATAATAAAATAATTATATTTTTAAACAAAATATATCATTAGAAAGTTTTTGTCAAAACAATTATAATGACACAAAAATAAAAAGTTCATGTAGATTCTAAATTTTATTATCTCTTTTCTACATTATTTTTTTTTATCAATTAATGTATAATAAATTACATAAATTAATAAAAAAAATATAGAAACTGTATAAAAATAATATTTTGAGGAGATCTGTTTGATGTTTTAGAAGAGAATTATGTTTTATTTAAGATTATATTAGTAAAATATAAGTTTATTCTATAAGAATACAGATAAAGCATGCATATTCCATTTTATTCCTGCCTGTTTTACGTAAAAGTCATATTAAACATACATATTCCAATTAGTGTAACAAATCAAACCCTAAAGAATTTCGAGTACAACGTCAATCAGAAAGAAAACGTGGTTGGCATTTTTCTTGATAACACCGTAACAAGAACCACCTTTTCCTTACATAAAACTCATTTTAAAATTCTTATTTTATTTATTATTATTATCAGAGTAAATTACCTTTAAAATGCATATACTTTTATTTATCTATACTATATTATAAAGTATTTTAATAAAAACTTTTAAAAACTATTTTTTATGCATAAAGTATTGTATATTGATTCATATTATTTAAAATTCAAGATTACAAATAAATTATGCATTAAGTACAACTTATTAAAGCTCCATGTTTGAATTCGTGTAACTAATTACGGATAAACATAATCAAATAGAGGATAAACATCTCATTTTAAAATATAAAAAATCTAAAATATAATTAGGATAATTATCGAGTTCTAACAAAATAATTAATTATTATCTTTATAAGAAAATTATATTATCAAACCAAATATAAATTACTTCGTTATTGAACTTGAATTAAATTATAATTAAAAAATTACACAAAAAATGAGAAATTTTAAATAGTTAATTTGATACTAATATCGATATATTTTTGTCAAAATTTTATGATATATTCAAACTTATATCATATTCAAAAATAAAAACATCATCGCCTTTTCAAAATTACATAAAACCATATTATAATATCGACTGAGATAAAAGATAAAATAAAATATTAAAATCAAGATATATATCGATGCATTGTACGAGAACCCTTTTAGTTTATTTTAAAGTATACATTTAATTATTTATATTTTGAAAACATATTATTAAAAGGTTCTGTCAAAATATACGTATTTTTAAATAGACAATTTTCAAACTATAAATCAATAAACATATATTTTAAAAACACGTTTCTATAAAATAACATTGGAAAAAAACAATAAATATATTTAAAAGTAACATATTTTCATAACTTTTCTTATTATATGTTAACAAAAACGAGATGGTATTTTTGTTGCATGTAATAACTGTTCTATTAATTTCTAGATTGAAATGTTATAACTGGACTTATTAACCAGTTACCGATCATATTTTGGATGATATTGAGGTCGTGAACATGCAATCTACATTTGACAGTACCAAATGAACTAACAGATATACATCACTGAATTAGTGAAAATAGATTTAGAGATTTAGGTTTTTCCAAACAGGAAACCAAACTGGAATATTACATAAACCAAACTGGAATATACATCTGAACCTTTGATCACTTTTCATCTCATGCTCACTCATGAATTGCGTTTTAGAAGAAGGAATTCATCTGGTGTATCTTGGTGCACCTCATTAGTGTTGACATTCAATTAGAATTGATCCAGTGCAGAGATCTCTTCTTACGCTTCTTAATATAACTTTCCTTCTCATCGGAATCTAACCATATATAAAGTTTTATTCATTTCAAGCAGATAAAGTACAGCACATAGATTAAAATCAGTGTAGTCAGTAATTTACAATAATCAATGTAGAACAAAGTCGAAATAAAAAAAAAATGAAAACAGACAAATCATATGTGATTTTGCATTAAACCACATGCGATTACGAGATCCATTTAACGCAAGGGTGAGCAAGCGATTTGTCCAGGTGTGAATCACATATGATTTTAATGTAAAGTTATATGTAATTTCCCCGTTCTCATATACTATAAATAGATATGATGCATTCATGTATGATACATAGATACGTGCATACATGTGCGATATATAGATATGATGCATGCATGTACGCTACATAAATATGA